GTGGCAGTGGAAGGTGTCAAAGCAGTTTGGAGAGAAAAACTAAGTAAAGAACAAAAAAAGAAAAAAGAAAATGATTAATCACTTTTTAAATTAGTCAACGATTATTTTAATAATCGATTAGTCGTCGACTAATCGATTAATCGTGGCAGCCCTAATTGAGAGCAGTTGTGATTTTAGAGGTTTCAGTCCCTCGTGAGCTTCATAGTCTTGAAGGAATTTATTAGTCATTTAGATACTGATTTGAAAGCATCACATCATTTTCTTAGTTTTCCTTTTTAAGGTTTGACTTTTAAAATCTATAGTTATGTCTTGATTAAAATAGGTTTAGAAACATGCCTGAAACATGACAACACATAATAAGAACCGTTTATAAAAACATCAGGGAAGCATTGCTGTTCAGTGTCTGCGATTCAACCATAGGCCTGTAGTGGGCGCACCAGGCACTGAAGATCCCTGTATTTATAGACCGGAACTTCCGGTTTTCGGACAGTTCTGCYCTGCTTGCTTCAGCCATAAGCAATAMAGCTTTGCTCAGAGTCAGATCTGGGGTTGTATGGTCCATTCTCTTCACTATTTTAATCAGATTCAACACTTATGTGATCTCGTCACGATTTCAGTTAACGAACATTAAATTTTCTTACAGTCTGAAGGTGAAAACAATAGGTSGGAATAAAATTACTGTTGAAATAAAGAAATACAAGACAATAATATTTTTTGTTGTTGTTGCTAATAAAATAAATCCAATAACTTTTTTCTGAAAAAGTACCATTGTTTTGATCAAAAGGGATTTAAGCGCACATCATGTTTCAGTGTCAAAAAGGCAGTTTTCTGCTCTGTGTCCTGTCCCCGAAAGAGGCTCAATGCTGTTGAACTGAGATACATATTGCTCAAACAGGTCACTGGAAAGCTGCCTATCACAAGTGGAACAGAGCCCCTCTCAGCTGAACGGCCTAGTTAATTTGTCTAGTCCATGTGTGTGAAGGGTCATCTGTCCAGAAATATGCATCTGGTTGATTCCTGCTTGGTTTCTTTGATCTGTGTGAAGGAACCCTTACAGGAGCTGGTCAGAGGAACGTGGAAATCCTGGCACTGTAGTGTAGTGATGCTTCCTGCAGGGGGAACAAACGTAGCCAACAGAGCTGAGCCAGCTCCCTGCTTGCTATTGCCGAGCTTTTCCTCTCTCTCCTCCAGTCCAGCCTTTATTCCCCGGCTGCCGCCACAGGCCTCGTTCCTTTACAAGCCAGGCAAAAGGCAGAGCACTCGCTCCTTCCTCGCAGCCCAGAGGATAAATATGGCCTTGATGGAAAGTGTGACTGTGTGTGCTACAACATTATAAAGAAGTGCGATTCCATTTTAGCTTCCCCTTGTGTCTTTCTAGTGAAGAAAAAAAAAACAGTAAATAGATTCGACTGACATCCAAGACCTTCCTTTAACAGAGAATCTATTTCTGACCGCACACATCAGAGAGACAAAGGCATCGCCTAAGAAGACACAGTACACATAACTAACCCTGAAAGTGTGGATGCTGGGGAAAATGTTTTATTTTAAACAGCAACCAGTATAACATGCAGTTAGGTCCATATCTATTTGAACAGAGACACAATTTCCTAATTTCTGTTCTATACATTACCACAATGAATTCTGAACAAAACATTTCAGATGCAGTTCAAGTTCAGAAGAGTAATTGGACAGATTAAATAATTGTAAATAAAATGTTCATTTCTAGGACTTGGTTGAAAAGCCTTTGTTGGCAATGACTGACTGAAGTCTTGAACTCATGGACATCACCAGACGCTGTTTCCTCCTTTTTAATGCTCTGCCAGGCCTTCACTGTAGAGGTTTGTTTGTGGGCCTTTCTGTCTGAAGTTTAGTCAACAGGTGAAATGCTCAATTGGGTTGAGATCAGGTGACAGACTTGGCCATTCAAGAATATTCCACTTCTTTGCTTTAATAAACTCCTGGGTTGCTTTGGCTTTACGTTTTGGGTCATTGCCCATCTGTAGTGTGAAACAAACCAGTTTGGCTGCATTTGGCTGGATCTGAGCACACAGTAATCGTGTTTCCATCCAGTTGTAGAGTGAATTTTTGTTGAACTTTTCAAAATTCGCAAAAAATTAAATAAATAAATATTTGAATCTAGACTGTTTCCATCTAGTTTCCCTCTCGAATGTTTGATGTGAATAAACGAGGCTACGCAACATGTGATAACGTCAAACGAGGCTACGCAACGCGTAATAACGTCAGACGAGGCTACGCAACGCGTA